TTATTAAGGGCTTAAAAAAAGCCAAAGAGAGGATTTTATATCTGAGCCACCAGAGTTTATGGACAGAGGGGTGACATGGTTATATCTATGCATTAGGAAGATCAATTCAACAGATGATCAAAGAATCAAATGGAATGGAGAGAGATGGGCCAGAAGACCCACCAAAAGACTATTGTAATAGGTCTGGCACGAGGTAACAAGGGCCTGCACCAGAATGGTAGCAGTGTCAGAGGGGAAAAGAGGAGCATTTCAAAGGCAGAAACAACAGGGTTTGACATTTAATTAGATGTGAAGGGGAGTGAGAGAGTGAGGAGTCAGGGATGACATCTAGGTTGCCACCCTGGGTGAGTGGGTGAATGATAGTACCCTTGACTGTTGTAGGAAAGTTTGGAAGAGGGGAAGTTTTGGAAGGAAAGATGAGTTCAGTTTTAGGCATGTGGAATTTGCTATGCTTTCAGGACATCCAGTTTGAAATGTCCAATAGGCAGTTGAGATTGAAGATCAGAAGTCCTAGGGCTGGACAAATAGACCTGATAGTCATCTTCATAGAGATGATAATTGAATCCATGGGTGTGAATGAGATCATCAAGCAATATAATATAGAGGGAGAAGAAAAGGGGGCCCAGTATTCTGCACAAATAACCTTAGAGAATTGCCTGGGCCATTGAGGGTTTTAAGGGATTTCTTCAAGGTCATGTAAGATCATTCAGCCACTACATGTCCCAGTATATAGAATCCAGTTCTTCCTGACTCTGGGACTGGCTTTTCAGCCATTGTGTCGTGCTTTTTCCTGGGAGATAGTTATTAAAAACAAAAATTCCACTCAGCACGAACTTTCTTTGAGACTGTTAATAATTAGCATTAGAAGCTCCATGCAGTACTGGTGCTGGGTGGACAGAACTAACATTCACCTTGGGGTTGAATTCTGTTGTACCTGGTTGTTTCTATGGTTAGTAATTATGTTTGAAGGGCCTTGGTCTGAACTATGGCACATGTAAAGTCAGTGCAATCAGGAAGTAGTTATAGAAGGAATTCCATCATATTTCTAGTATGACCCACAAATAGTACCTGATTATTTCCCACTGGTTAGAATAGAATTATCCCCAAGTTACAGATGAGGAGACTGAGATATAGAGGAGTAAAGATCTCCAAGCTATGGAGACTACTACAAGGGGTCAGGTGACAGATGATTTCATATAAACCAAAAAAGGCTGCTATATTTTCAGGAAGCACTTACATTATAAAAGTGATATGTACCATTTTGCTATTCCTTAAGAAGATAAAATGGCCTGGGAACTTTACTTTTGCCTAAATATATTCAGAGGAATGATCCCATTGAGGGAGTATGGAAGGGGGAATGACTGGGGTAAACCCTACTTTCCAACAATCCTCTAGAAGTCAATGCTGCCTGAGACCACAAAATATATCTCAGAGTTGTTCCAGACTATAGTGAGATATCCACACTTAACCTGCAATGTTATATTGACCTACAAGACTCCAAACTGCAAATAGCAGACATGGGTATAGTGCTTTAAAGTTCACAAAGTACTTAGCACATAGCATCTTGTTAATCCTCTCAGCATCCCAGGGAAGTAGGTATTATTGTTTTCTCCATTTTACAAAGGAAAGAAAGTGGGGTTCAAAGAGTGACTTGCCTTGGGTCACATAGCTAGTAAATGTCTGGACAGGATCTAAACCTGGGAGTTCCTGACTCCAAACCAGTTTAGACACCAAACCAATTTAGACATCCTAGTGTTGTTATATGACTTTACTGTGTGTTTTTAGATAATGCTAGGGTCAGTCTACACCTATGAATTTTCACAACAGGAGCTAAAATGATACCTGATAGAAAGGAATCCAAAGAAAAACCGATACTGAGGAATGATACCATAGCCCACTATTTACAATCCCTTTCAAGGGTGTAGGTTGTCCTTAGGAATTTGCATCGAGTAGTCTTAATTTCCATCCATAGCCACTTTCACTGGATGTAACAGTTGTTAGAGAATTCATGTATTCATGTGTTCAGGTTCTGCCAGTATTTTCTTCTGCGTAGGGGTAGGAGATAGCCTGATAAGCACAAGAATGGCATGCCTGCCAGATCAATTTGGCACATCCATTGACCTCTAATGCTCCCTGTGGGGGAGAGGCAAAGATGCAGTATGTCAGAATGCAAAGAGATAGCTCCATTTATGTACCCAGTGTGAATGCCACCAATATTTTCCTTCACCCACACCCACAGACTCTTTCTGCTTTTGAGAGTCTGAGGTAAAGAAGGGATAGACTATAGAATCACAGGATTTAGAGCTGGAAGACACCTTATTAATCATTTTATCCATGGATTCTCAACCTGGAGTCCAAGGACCTTCAAGGGGTCTGTGAATCAATTTTAGGGAAGGTCTATGAATTTGGGTGGGGTGGGGGCAGATAGGTGGTGCAGTGGATAGAGAACCAATCCTGAAGTCAAGAGGAACTGAGTTCAAATCCGGCCTCAGACCAAATGCTTGACATGTACTAGCTGTGTGACCCTGGGGAAGTCACTTAACTCCAACTGCCTAGCCAAAAAAAAAAAAAATTTGGGTGGGGAAATGACAATTTTATTTCAATATAATTGGTTTGTAATCTTATGTATTTTTTTGATGCCCTTAAAAACATTATTCTGAGAAGGATGTTTCCAAAGATTAAGTACCACAAATGGGTAAGACTGTTTGATCTACTCCATCCTTCTCATTAGACTTAGAGAGTCAAAGTGATTTATCCCAGATCACCCAGGTAGTAAATAGCAAAGCTTGGTTACACACCATGATTCAGGCCACTTCTTCCCAAGTTAGGGGGGAAAAAAAGCAATTTTATTTATGTCTTTTGTTGTTGTTGTTGTTTTTGTATCCTTCATTTCTGAGTATATCATTCCCCACTCCCATTCCCATCCCCTTGTAATAAGGAATTAAAAAAGAACAAGGAAAAAATGAGTTCAGCAAAACCCAACCAACCATCAATAAAGTCTGACAGCATAAACAAGTTCTACACCCATATTCCCTCATCTCTGCAAAGAAAGGAAAGAGGTCCCAAGCACATGTTCTGCCAGATGTCTTCCCTTATGGCCAAATGGGCAAGTCAGAGAAACTAGGATATGATTATTCCCTATTTACCTCATTCCTAGTTCCACAAGCAGGCAAAAAGTTTTCAAAAATCTTCAAAGTTTCTTTTTCTTTCAAAAGTTTTTTAAAAAATTATTTATCCTTTGTTTTCATGTTACTGTAATTTCCAATATCCTTCCCACCTTACCTGCTGAGAAAGTCATCCCTTAGAATAAGGTATAAAAGATAAAAAAGCAATTTAATAAAATTAACCAATGTATCTACCAAATATGATATTTACGCAATGTTCCAAACCTATAGTCCTGCACCTCTGCAAAGAAGGGAGGAGGGTACATTATTTCATCTGTTCTTCAGGATTAAGCTTGGTCATTATGATTCCACAATATTGTTTATTTTGTTGTTGTTGTTCTTTACCTTGACATTGTTGTAATCATTATGTATATTAACTTCCTGGTCCTTCTTACTTTATTTCATACCCATTTTTATAAGATTTCCCATACTTCTCTGTATTCTTCATAGTCATCATCTCTTAAGGCTTAATATTTTATTACCTTCATGAACCATGATTTGTTTAGCTACCCCGCAATTGATGAGCATCTATTTTATTTCTAATTCTTTGATACAATAAAAAAGATACTGCTACAAAAATGGAGCCTTTTTTCTATCTATATAACCTGAATTTGAAGCCCGTCTTAAGCACTAGCTGTGAGACCCTAGACAAGTCACTTAACATCCCTCAGCTTCAACGCTCTCTTTTGTAAAATGGAGGTTATAATAAGTTATTCACAGGGTTATCATGCGGATCAAAAGACATAAAAAGCTTTGTAAACTGTAAAGCATTATGTATTAGCTATCACCATCATCATCGTCATCATCATCATCATCATCATCATCATCATCATCATCGTCATCATCATCATCATCATCATCATCATCATCATCATCGTCATCTTTGACCTCCTTGAAGTAAATGCCTAGCAGTGGTATCTCTGGACCAAAGGCTATGGACATTGAATCACTTTATTAGCATAAATCCAAATTGTTTTCCAATGTGGTTAAACCAACTCATAGCTCCGTCAACAGTGTGTTGCTGTTGCTCACTCATTTGCGGTTGTGTCCAACTCTTTGTGATCTTATTTGGGGTTTTCTTGGCAAATATACTGGAGTGGTTTGCCATTTCCTTCTCTAGCTCCTTTTACAGATGAGGAGACTGAGGCAAACATGATCACATGACTTGCCCAGAGTCACACAGCTGCTATTAAGTGTCTGAAGCCAGATTTGAACTCAGGAAGATGAGTCTTCCTGACTTCGGACCTGGCACTCTATTCACTACACCACCTAGCTACCCAACCACTGACAGGTATCTATCTCAGAATCCTCTTTTTAAAGCAATCTCATTTCGTACCACATCATGCCAAAAGGAGCAGCTTGTAAGGGTGCCTCCACATTCACAAGAAGCTAGCTAGCTCCACAGAGGCCTATTTCATCACAACATAGTCCCTTGGCTTTGCCACTATGATCTGAAGATGTGTGTTGGACCCACAAAACCTCTGAAGGGCATGGCTATTGTCAACATGAACCTACCATACTTGCTCCTCACTTGTGTGGTAGCAGTGTCAATTAGGTGCTATGACTTTAAACATTTAGGTCAGTGTTTGTCCTTTCTTGAAATGTTTTTCAACCTGGCATAATAAAATCTGAGCAGAAAATGATAATCAGGCTGAATAAGCCCCAGCCACAGCTTCCAGCAGATTCTACTTTTTGTCTTTTTATTTTTTTGACCATAGCTCAACTTGGCCCAGTTGTGAAACTTTTTCCCTTCTAGATAAACTGCCCTTTGTTAAGTAATCAGAATGGTGACATTCTGGTTCCAAATTATACAGTCACTGTGGAAACCCTCTGAGGGCCAAATAAAACCAGGGTGATAAAACTGAGACTCAGCACATTCCCTGTCCATCATGAGGTGAGCAGTAAAGTCACCTGTTCTGAAGAGCCCCAGCTCTTCCCTGAATTTCAAGATACGCAGTGGGGGCTAAACTGATTTTTATTCCTTTTCTAGAAATTTTCTGAGACCACAATCAGCAGCTGCTGCTTCTTGAAACCCAAGTAAGGAAGATCAGTGGAAACCAGGTATCTCCACCGAGCCCAGAACTATGCAGTACTGAGTTTCTAAAACCTTGCGTGAAGTAAAGCAGAACCATAACTAGCATGAAGCAACTGGGGTTTTGCCTCAGGGTATGCGCCAGTAGAGGATCCACACTTTGTGGTCAATCTTTCAGGCCCCTCGTCCTGTGGTGGCACAAGAGTACCAGCTCTCTCCTGGTAACTCCTCTCTCAATGAGTGTTCTATCCTCTTCAGCCCAGTCACACCATCTGCTCTCTCTCTCTCTCTCTCTCTCTCTCTCTCTCTCTCTCTCTCTCTCTTCTCTCTCTCTCTCTCTCTCTCTCTCTCTCTCTCTCTCTCTCCAATTCCACTTCTTCTCTGGGGTTGCTCAGAGTGATCATACCCAACTTTCCTCTACATATACCCACTCCCAACTGAATTTGCACCTAATTCCTGGATTCCTAGTTACAATTATGATGTAAGGTAAGGGTTATTACTAATGTCAGGCTTCAGCTCACTGGAGAAAGAAAAACAAAAGTGATTGTGTTCTCTAGAGGAAAATTACTCCTCGGGTAGAGCAATGTAATGTTTTGAAAGTAGGAATGCTTCCACAGTTAATATTTGGATGGGACCAATATGTTTTTTAGGGATTGTCTTCCCATTGAAACCTATGCCACTCCTATTGGAGACAATGGGCCCTTGCTGTGAAACTGTGGAGAGGAGAATTTAGCTCAGTATGTGCTGGAGTTAGGGATGAATGATCTTTTTAGTTTTTTGTTTTACATAGATTTTTGCAGTGGGAGTAGTTCTGACATTAACAGTAGAAGGTAGAGTGTCAGGGATTTTGGTGTTTACTAATGCATATGCTCTATTCATAGACCCTCTGTATATCCTTATCTAAGTCACTAATCTTTATGCATAATTTCTCCCTTCATTCATACTGTTAAAAAAAAAACCCGGGCCTGTGATTTCATCAAGGTGGTTGTTGTTCAGTTGTATCCAACTCTCTGTGGCCCCATTTTGAGATTTTCTTGGCAAAGATACTGGAGTGCTTTGCCATTTTCTTCTCCAGCTCATTTTACAAATGAGGAACTTAGACAAACAGGGTTAAGTGACTTGTACATGGTCACACAGTTAGGAAGTATCTGAAGCTAGATTTGAACTCAGGAAGATCAATCTTTCTGATTCCAAGGCCAGTGCTTTAATCACTGCACCACCTAGCTGCCCTTCAGAAACAATTATGATCAGAAATTCCCTTCAGTGCAGATAACTCATTTGTAACTCATAATCTCAAAGCTTAGGGTTACCTGAGTACAAATAACCTGCCCATGATTACCCATTGGTATTTGTCAGAAGTACAATTTGAACCTGCATCTTTCTAACTTCTCTCTCTACTATCCCGTTTTGCCTTTCATAAGTTTTTAATTCTGCTACAAATTACCATGAGGACAAATAATGACAAGTATCTTTAGATTCCTGCAAATGAGAAAAAAATAATTCTCACCAGAGGAGAAAATGGAGGAAGAAAATGAAACATTTCTGGCCCCTTCTTCCTTCAGTCCTTTCTGTTGTATTTATAAATGGGGTGCTACAAGACCAGATTCCTTCCTCTACTTGGAGTGGGGGCTACTTGTTGGAATCAGCATAGTCAAAGAGAACCATTCATTCAATTCTCAGTGTGAGCATTTATACTTCAGGAATCAGCAAATGCTAGAAATCAGAGCTTGATTTATTGTTTTGTTGATTGTTCAGACTTAAGAAAGTGATGGAGAAAATGCTAATAGTTCAGCTTAAATTTAAAAGTGTGTCTTGCATACATTGTTTTTCTCCAGAGAGCTGGTTGGTAAACATTTACCAGCACACCCCTGGACTTGTTACTATTCATCTCTCAAAAGAGGGAATATCACAGGGACCAAGACCTAAAACTTTGACCAAACAAAGACAAGAGGGAATCTGATGCTGGGGAGAAGATAGTGATTATACCAGAAGGGCTACAGAGCAAAGAACTTTAAAAAAATAATTGGGAATTTTCTGAAAACTTCTAGTGCTTTAGGGGAACTCCTTAGAGTTTATAGGGTTTGAAACTGATTCTCTTCTGCTTGAGGGCATGAAGAAACTGAGACTTTTGAGATACTCCATTCCTTAAAGCTACTCTACCAATCCCACCTTCCTTTCAATGCTCACCCTTACCTCAATGGTTTTTCTGATTTCTCCCCTGTAATGAACCTATTCTCTCTATTATCAAAATCCTACTCATTTTTCAAGGTCCAGCCCAAGTCTCTCTTTCTCCACTAATATGCTAAAGCCTTAATAAACCAGAGTGCATCTAGAGGAAGGCAACTGGAATGGTGAGAAACCTGGAAGTCAAGTTTTTATTAAAGATACTTGAAAGAACTAAGTAGGGAGGTTGAGCCTAAAAGGAAGAGAAGAGAATAACTCACGAAGGGGTGCGGAGGAAAAGTATGGGGAGCATGGAGTTGAATTTTGAACTATGGAAAGAAGATACATGGAGACAGATTACAACTCAACATTAATAAGGAAATTTAAGACAATTAGAACTGTCTCACAACAGAATCATCTTTCTCACAAAATAGTAAGTTTCTTGATTTACAGTAATGTAGGTGGATGAGACAATCATGGCACATGGCACAATATGAGAACATTTTGTAAACGTCGAAGTACTATGTAAATGAATCATTGCTAATATTTGTGATAGAGGAGAGGATACAAACAAAGTGCCAGGAGAACCCAGAGGAGGGAGAGTTTATTTCTATTTGGGAGATTCAGGGAAAGATGACTACTTCATCAAGTTGCAACATTTAAGCTGTGTCTTTAATGATGGGTGGACAAGTGGAAATAAAGCTTGAGGTTAGGGATGGGTACTTGACTTGTGATTTCATTGATACAGGGAACTCCCAGAGGAAGAAACTCCCTTCACAAATGCAGGTCAGCACATTTTCTGTAATTCATAGTCAGTTTCTTAGAGCACCGAGAGATTATCATTTGTCAAGGATCATCTAGTCTGTTTATGTCAAAAGTTTGGACTTGAACCCAGCTTTCCTAGCTCTGAAGCCAGATCTCTCCCCATGAAATAGCAATGCCTTTCTTCCTGGAGGATTAGGGAAGGAAATTTCAGGCACAATAAGCAGCTTCAAAAAAAAAGAAGAAACTTACAGATAGTTCTTCCTTTGGAAGATTTTTTAAATCTTTGGAAAATTCCATCCCCAAGTTTTTTGAGTATGCAGATATGAGAGTTTTTGTAGGTGACACACTTTCATGTTTTTGGGAACCCAGAAAGGAGAGAGTAAGTACAACAGCAGGAGAAAATGGTCAAAAGTGGCAAAAGCTGCAGAGAGGTTGAGAAGTGAGAGGAATGAGAAAAAGTCACCAGCTCTGCTAATTAAGAGAACATTGGTGATTTGGAGAGAACAGTAAAGAGTCAAGGATAAATGGAAAGATGGAGAGCCTAGAAGACTAATAGGAACCCAGGTGCCCTTCATGGAAATGGAAATTTAGATGAAGGATAGATTTGGTGGAAAGGCTAATGTAAAGAGGTCTGTGATGCATATCCAAAGTCATGTGTGTTCATCATGGGCTACTTACTTTTTTCCCACTGGAAAAAATAAAGTAGGGGGTGTTAATAGGCTGCTGGTCTGGAGCAGAGACTCCATCAGTAAAGAGGACAATCATGGCAGACAGGAAGTGATCTAGCAGCAGGGTGTTGGGGTGCCGAAGGGATAGGGGTAGGAAATTTTGCTTGCACAATTGCTGTGGATGCCTTGATTAGCCGCTAGATTATAACCCTGAGCAACCTATGTACACATTGGACTAAGTCAGTCACTCAGTCAATAAACTGTATTAAGCACCTACTATGCGCTAAGCACTATGTTAAGTGCTGTGGATATGAAAAGAAGACAAAAAGACAGTCTCTGTCCTCAGGGAGCCCACAATTTAACAGGAAGAAAACGACACATAGAAGCAATTAAAAAGTTTACTGATGGGGTGGGGATGAAAGTCCAGAGGAGGGCGACCAGGTGGGAAATGATGAGATGGCTGCCCTGAGTGGAGGATCTGAGAGGACCTCTCCATTGTCCATCCTACACACCCTCCAACTGAAGGGAGGAAGGGACCCCCAGAGCAAGCGGTACTAAGGAGTTATGAACTGCAAAGTTGAGGCCATCTTCCAGGATGATGAGATTCCAGAAACTATGATGAAGTCCAGAAGAATTCATCCAGATAGGAAATAATGAAATGGCTTTTCTGAGTGTACTCTTAAACGTAGGATCTGGGAGAAGAAGGTAGAGTGGGAAAATGTCGAACTATAATGGGGGGTGGGGTTGTGTTAGGGACAAGCATGTGATGAACTGTCTTGGGCAGGATAGGATATGACTACTCTTCTCACTTGGTTAATTGGTTAATTGGTTAATCCCACATCCCTTGGGATCAGGCCATGGCCCCTCAGGGGCCTGTGGTGCCCACTTTGGAAACCATTTCTCTAGATGTTGTTTGACTGGAGTGCAGCAGTGCTATTACCTCCCTTGGTTTGGACATCGTGTCTCTCTTAAAACAGCCTAAAACGCACTCACTTTTTTTGGATGCCACATCACATTGTTGTCTCATATAAGATCAATGGGCAGGGAGTCATCCTCAAATTCAGCCTTAGACATTTACTTGATGTGTGACCCTGGACAAGCCTATTGCCCTCTATTTGCTTCAATTTCCTCATCTGTAAAATGGGGATAATAAAAGCATCTACCTCATAGGGCTGTGAAGATCAAATACGACAACATTTATAAGGCGTTTAGCACAGTGCCTGGCATACAGTAGACCCTTAATAAAAGCCTGTTTCCTTCCTTCTTGACATACTGCACTGCTGACTCATAGTTAGCTTGCATTCTATAAAACTTCCAGGTCTCTTTCAGACCATCAATATCTCACCATTTGTTCACTTCTACCCTATCTTGTACTCGTGAAGGTGATTTTTTAAAATACAAATATGGCTTTACCTTGACCCCTATTAAATTTC